GGGAACTCACATTTCAATTTCATCTGAAGGGCGAAGGGCGGCTTTCCGTCATTGATAAATATGCCAAATCATTGGGGCACGTCCTTAAAGGACCGCTCCACCCACTCGAGAGACACGTGCACACGTAGGGACACAAAAAAAAGGGGCGAAAATTCAGCAAAAGAAAAAGCAGAGGCAACGGCAGCGGCAGCGGCAGCGGCAGCAGGATAAAGTTTTTCCATTCACTTTTCCCGTTTTGTTTGTTGAGTTATTTTGTCAAAATTTATTTAAATATTCTGGCAATTTTCGTGGAACACCTCCCGTACCCAATCTCCAATCTGCAATCTCCAGTCTCCTGCCTTCTGTCGGGGTCTACGGGGGGATACGTTGGGATATCCCAACGCTTCGTGTTGAATAATTTCTTCAACAGTCATTAAATGCAGCAGAAAGCACTCTCTTTGCCCCCCCACCCCCCTCCCAGCCCGGTCCGAGACAAATGACAGCAAATTATTATGGTACTGGATCCGAGGGTACCCTTATCCTTTCACTTTCTCTATCCCTGTTCGCTGTGGCTCCTACTTTTTTGCCCAAAATTTTCTTTTCTTCTTTTTGTATTTTGTTGGTTTTTTCTTTGGTGCTCTGTGAACCGCGGAACTTTTCCCCGCCTGCCAACAATTAATTGAAATTAACATATTTTCCCTCGTTTTATTTGAGACAACTTATCAAGGACCATGCCCATTCCCATGCCCAAGCCCATGCCCATTCCCATGCCCAAGCCCATCCCTTGACCATCCAACGCTTTAGGTAAAAGTTAATTTCCTTGCGTTTCCACCCAAAGAAAGCCGAAAAGGATGTACGGCACTTGGACCAATTAAATCCGTTGGCGAAACTTTTTCCCCGTGTAGTTTTTGTCCAGGTAGCGCCGAACTTTCCCATTAAATTTCCCAGAAAAACTTCAATCCGACAAATTTTGCAGAGATATTCGTCTAAGATTAAAATTAATTACAAAAGCTGGATTTTTGAAAAGAATACTCAATGAATCGAATGGAGGTCTCTTAAGTGGGCGGTACGGGGTAAAACGGGGTACATCTCGGTTACTTTCGCGTACGAAAACGAACAAATTTAAGCCGTGAAAATCCCCGTAACTGAAACTGAAACTGTAACCGAAACTTGACTCCAACCAGGCCGCCTCGTAAGTAAAACGTTTTCACATTGCGGCGCCCGTAATGAGCCAGACAACGATGCCAGGGAAAAGCTGTGAAAAGTTGAGACTCTGGTGAAAGGGGAATTCTCGATTCTCAGTGAAAACAGCGGGCTGGCAGGAACTGAAGTCCTCTCCAGTCACATAATAGGGGCATTCCTCATACGCCACCGATTCCCCAGTGCTGCACCATTTACCGCCGCCGCCGCAGCCACAGCCTTCTCTTTGTAGTCGTGTTTTTATACCCTTCAAAGGGCGGGCCATGGCCCTTTTTTGCTACATCTTTCATAGAAAATAATTACCACAAAACTTTCCCCTCGCTTACTCCACAAAGGGTATACCGGGCTTCGGCTTTAATGGGGCTTTTACTTTCTTTTACTCGCTGCTGCTGCTGTTCCTCCGGGGGTCGGCGGCGGCTGCCTTTATGAAAAATTATACAAAACTTTTTACTTAGTGCCACGAGGGCACTGAACAATTACGAGGCCATCAGGGAAGTGGATGGGGGCGGGGGGCTGGGGGCTGGGGGATACCGTTACCGGTACTCGCTCTCTGCAAATAAATAAACGTGTTTGTAATAAGCCCCCGTTTTGGCCCCATCGCCGTCCTAAGCGATGCAGAAAATTAAGGGTCAACCATGCGGCGGCGGAGAATTGAAAATGTTGTGTTTCCATTGGAAGGCGGGAAGGCCGTTCGGTTAATCGCTGGAAGGCGAAAATCTGACAGTTTTCGCACTAATTAACCGAATGGCGAGAACAATGCACAAGATTTATGGCTGAAAATTTACTTAATTACTTGCTTGATCCACACACCCCCAACCCACCAGCAGCCCAACATATAAATCAGTGAGCCTTGAACGCAGAATGTGGCCAATGGCCGATGCCAATGCATTTCTCAAATTAATTGCGAGCAAGAATATCTGTAAATAGAAGAGAAGAAAACCTACAGGTGGGCATTTATGAACAAATTTTATTAATCTTTAATTCGTTTGGTACGCATTTGCATGCCCAAAAGTATGCAATATATTTTGCATTGCAATCGCAGCAGCCCAAAAGCACGCAACGTTTTTTCACTCAGCGAAATCCTCTCCTTTTTTTCCCCCTTTTTTGTTTTTTCTCTGTCTACCTTTTTCTAATTACGCAGTTTACAAAATAAAAATAAACTTTGACTCCCAGAACACCATCGAGCCATACGCACATTCCGAAAAGTCCATTTCCCATGCCATGCCGTGTCACCTCCGTTTTATTTGTATTTGGTTTTTTTTTTTATTTGCGCCTTGCTTGTCGACTGAACTTTCGGCATTTCTATGGAATTCAATTTCAAAGCTATATTATTTTCATTTAATTTCACGCTTTCAATTTGCGACCCACACACAAAACACAGACAAAACCGAGACGACAGTCCGGTCGTCCTGTCGGGCGGCAGGCATCCCTTTCTTAACCCTCGCACCCACTAGTGCCACTAGTGGCACATCCATATTCCCTTCACAGTTGATCCCGCCACTGTGGGTCGCGGCACATGCCAAAGGTATGGCATAATGGATTCTTTCTTGTTGTGTTTTTTTTTTCGTTTTGTTTTTGTTTTGTTTGTGTGCCACCTATTGTCTGAAAACCGAAACCAGACCGGAGTGGAGCGAGCTATCTATCACCGGCCGGAATCAAACCGAACCGAACTTTGAACCGTCGAGAACCGCCCACAGGGCATCGCATCGCTCGTCAATTTGGCACATTCAACGGCTCCGCAAGTAGACCCACATCCACATCCACCAAGTGTGTGTGTTTTACAAATGGAGGTGGAATAGGATCACAATGGAGGGAAAACAAAAGTACAACACTTGGGTGGGGGCCGAACGGGGGAAAACTTTTCATAAAACAAAGCAACTGCTCATCGCGTCGCATGAATGTCATCCACGAGGCCCACAGACAGCCAGCTCTGCCATCAAATTCCACGGGCAGTAAAACATTTATCGAATACTATCGATTACTTGATTTTGTTGAAGCAGTTTGATTTGTGCCTGATTTGTTGTACTATTTTTTGGAAAACCTGGCAAAAGTTTTCACTGCCAGAGCCCTCTAATACGTGGAGGCACCAACCGTTTGTCAATGGTTCTGAATGGGTTACGATGGGCTGTATGATTGTTGGGTGTGCATGAGAGACTCTCACGAAATTGGTCAGCATTGGAAATTGAGCAACTTTTTGCTCTCAGTGTTTGAAAGGTCGAAACAGCTTTTTAATCATTAAATTAACGAAATCAATTCACATGTTTCTCTCTCTCTCTCTCTCCTCTCCTCTCCTTCTCTCGCTCTCTTTGGTAAATTGCAATTCGCAGCGAAAAAAAACTTTTGATTAATTAAAAGTAAAACAAAACAAACAAAACAACAACTTCAACAACAGTTTCCGAGAACAGCGACTGCGAGAGAACACCAACAGAGATAGCAACAACATCGGCTGAAAAGTGAGTGTTAAGCGCTGGGCTTTTGGGCCAACAAAAGCGCGAAGGAACGCGGCCCACAGTAGTCGTCGCGTCTGAAGAGCGCAGCGAAACTTTGAAGCAACCTTTTTGTGTAAAATAAATACAAATATTTATAAAAAAAAGAAATACTAGAAAGAGAAAACCTTTGCCAGCGAATCAACATCGAAATGGAATTGGTCATCCTTTTTGTCAAAAAGCATTTACTTCGCGAAAGTAACAACTTACACAACAACAGCGAAAACAACAACGGCAACGAGAACGGTGAGAACAGGAATCACGGCCGCAACCGGAACAACGCTAACAAGAGGAACAACCCGAACAGCCGGAACAACAACGAGGAGGAACAACCAGGACAATCAAGGCATCCGGGATATCCGGGATATCAAGGACAACTGAAGCTCAGAGATCAGTACCCGAAGATCGATAAGCGTACACGGCTACTGGCCCTACGACACCCGAAAAGGATCACATCGGGTCTAATTTCACCAACCAACCAACCGGAAGTGGCATATCGATTGGCTGAAGTAGCAGCCAAATCGGAGGCAAGCGCTGCAGCAGCAAAACGAGATCAAACAGCTGCACGCAAGGAGAGCAAGAAGTACAAGAACAAGTAAACCGGCAACGGAAACATTCAACAACATCTTCACCAACAACAACAACAACAACAACAACAACACCAGCAAGTAACAGAAAGAAACACTTCAACAACAGCTATAAAAACAAGTAAACACTCAACAACAGCATCAACAACAACAACAATTCAACAACTAAAACACTAACTAGACCTGAGACTAATAATTTACTATTTACGGGGACTATTTACCAAAACTATAAAATACCACAACTAAAACTTCAACAACAACTCCAACAAGAAGAAAGGCACCAAGTGTAACAATACAACAAAACCTTCAAGAAGAAGTGCACCAAGGGTAACAATTAACCATAAGTAACAAAACAACAACAACTTCGAAAAGAAGTGCACCAAGTAACAAATCACCAGAGGTAACAATTCAACAAAAATTAGACAAGTCTCAAAGATTCAACTACAATTCCTACTACAACAATAATCAGCACAGCTTCAACAACAACAAACCCGGCTTAAACTATTCAACAACAACACAAAGTGTCAACAAGTACACCAACACCTGCAGAAACAACCCAGAAAAAAACTGAAAATAAAGCAGACTACGTCAACTAGTACGACAACGACAGAAGCAGATTCAACAACAACAGAATCCGCTGCAACAACAAGAACAATCAAAATTTCAACCAAAGCGGCTAAAACGGCATCAAGACGGGTTCCAACAATTCAACAACAAATCAGCCAGAGCTCAGCAAGAGCTCTACAGCACCACCACCACAGCAACAAGAACCCAAGCCCAGCTCCAGCAACGAGAGCAAGATGCAGCGTCTTCGCACGACCTTCACGCGTTCGCGGACGCCCACCGGCGCCGAAATGAAAATGCAGAACAGCCTCGAGGTGCCCAAACAGGTAAACAATCGATCGCAAGTCGATAGCATTTATCGATTGTCTGTTTGCATGTCTTGTTTGTTGTGTTTTTTGGCTGTCGTTTGATTTTATTGATTGGTTTTTAGTTGTCATACTTGTTGCCTGAAGCTGTCGATAACTTTATTGCCTATCGATAATTATGGATAGTATACACAAGTCGATTACCTTTTGGTTTTTCTTTTCTTAATTTCCTCGAGTGTTATCGATAACTAATCGAACTGACAACGATTCCTCCGTTCTTGTTTTTGCATGCTTGTCGTTTCGTCTTCGCTTGCTCAACCCACCCACGTTTCACTGACCTCTGACCCTCTGATCCCCTCTGATGTTGCAGGTGCGTTCCGCCTCCTTTGACGAGATGCAACTGGAGGCGCAGCGCACGTCCTCGAACCGACTGAGGCAGCGTGCCTCGTCCTCGGCGGAGGGGCGTGCCTTGGAGGCTGATCGTCTGCAGGTGCCGGCTGGGCAGGGCCGCTCGCGCAGCTTCGACTCGGCCGTCATCGATCCGACGAGCGAGGATTCGGGGGCATTCCTGGATGTGCCGCAGCGCAACAAGATGCCGCGGCGCAGCAGCTCGTCGAGCCCGAAGACCCCGCCGCCGTGCTTCCATTGCCAATTGGTGAAGCAGTACGAGCGCCAGATAACAGCGGAGCAGCGCTTCTTCATCGATCATCGAGAGCTCACCGCTCTCAGCTTCTACAGCGACGATGACGATGACGACGACGAGGAGGAGGGTGCGGTGGGCGGTGAGGGTCTGTGCGAAGACATGCATGGTGCCTGCGGCGGACGGCCGCTTCCCGATGTGAACAACGAGGCGGTGGCTCGGGCGCAAGCCATTCTTGCATCCACATTCGAGAACGACCCGAGCACCGATTGCGAGGACGATGCTGTTGAGCTGGACCTGGGACTGATCCACTTGAGCATCGAGCAATCACGGGCTCGTATTCCGCGGCAGATGCGCCGCCACACCATCGACAGTTCGGTGGGCAATTCCGAGGATGAGGGCGTCGACGGGTCCGGGCCCAACTCCAACAATTCCCCGTATTTCGGCAACACCCTGATGCCGCCCAGACCCTGCGGCATCACCTTCACCCTGTCCCCCACCAACGGCGACTGTCCGTTCCTCCCAACCTTCGCTTTCCCCATTGATCCCAACTCCCCACCAGGCTCGCCTTCGCCCACCCAGTCACCATCGCCATCGCCGTCGCCGTCCCCGTCGCCCACCCCGTCGGTGGTGCTGGCCGTTCCACCCCCCCTGCTGGAGCTACCGTCCTGCTCCACTGGCAGCGGACAACAGCTGCTGGGCTCCACCGCAGCTGTGGCCGCCGCCGCCCTCACTCTACCGGCGATTGCCTCCTCGCAAGCAGCCGCAGCCATGGCCACCGGAGCGGTCTGCACCTTGGCGGATGCAGATGACGCTGCTGCCGCTTTGGGGGCCATGGGCCTGCCGGTTCGACCCAGACGCCGGTCCATCTCGCGGCAGGAGGCCATCTTTGTGGAGCCGACCGGCAGTTCGCTCGAGAATGTCTCGATGTCGATCGAGAAGGCCGACTCCATTGATGCCGCCTCCACCAGGGCCAACTGCGGCTCGCCCACGGGCATGTTCGCCGTGGCCCATCGCACCGGATTTGTGGTGCAGGACATATACTTGACCGTACCGGATCTCCGACGGGATCGTGCCGCCTCCGTGGACTCGTGCTTCTCGAAGCTCTCATCAGGCAACAAAACCGAGGAGCTCCAGCCCACCGTGGATGGCTGCTACCTGACCGTACCGGTGATCAACACCACTCGGTCCCGGTCCGTGGACATAGTCCTGCCCACCGACGAGCAGGCGCGCTACAAGGCCCTGGCCATGACTGGCAACGAGCCAGGCACCTACGGGTAGGTTCAACTAACAGACTTCATCCTTCAATCCTTAGTTCTAGCCATAAACATCTGTCCGATGGGACATTTTCAATATCGGGTATCCTTTTTTGTTTCTCCATGTTTTCTGTTTACTATTCTTTGGACTTTTAGGCCAGGAATCCCTAGCCCTTATACCTTATGCCCAGGCAATCTATTTTTGGACAGGCGGCGGGCAAACTTTGAAATTGACTCATTAAAACGAGCTTAACACGTGGCCAAGGTGCGGGCGATTTTGGAGCTCTGTCTCTGGCTCTGGCTGGGGGCTAGAGAGAACATAATTGCTGTTGTTGGCCTTTCGGTTTCGAGACATGGAAATGGGCGGACATGTGGCTGCGACATGACACGTGCGGCCGAGTGAGACATGTCATGCCCGGCGGCGGATGGAGTCAGTGTCCGCTGGCCAGGATTTAGACCTAATTAAAAGAGAAGGACTCTCCATCTTTGTCTCTGTGGCTCAGCCATTCATAATTCCCCCCCAAAAGCGGACACTGACTGAGCCTTTCCGTACACTATGCCTTTAGCCTCGGACCCTCGGCATGAATAAATTATGGCGGACAACGACAAAAAAAAAAAAAAACATACAAAAAAGAAAAACAAAAAATGGCTCAGTGAACCGATTTCCTTGAATTACAACAAAAGCCGCCCATAAATAATATTCAAACAAAGTGTCTCGTGTCCGTGTCCGTGAGCCTTGTCCCCCCCCCCTGTCCGAAATGACGTGAAGAGTCTGCCTCTGCGTGCCACAAAATCGTTGAGGTGTGAGGGTGACGAACCACTTGCGGCCAATTTGTTTGCTTGTCGGAGTCAGAGTCAGAGTCACTCCGTCCGGGAGTCCTGGACCCCGGCCAGGCTCTACTTGGACGCGACTTACGTGAACCGATATGGATATGGATAATTCAGAACTTTTTCCTGATGGATTACATAGATTAGGAGGGCTCTTTGTGGTGCGTGTGCCAGGCAACCTGATTCCATTCCAGGAAAATTAATTATTTTAGTGGCTTCAGAGAGAGGGAGAGGGAGAGAGCGAAGGATTTCTAAATATTTGATAAGAACAAGGCCCGTAGTTCAGAGTTCCAGACATCGAATCAAAATAAAAAGAACCATAAAATCTACCCAAAAAGGGCAAACAATCTGTATTGGGATGTAGGTGACAAACCAAACTGAGGGGCGTTGCTGGATGACGCGTAATCATTGATTTTTCCTCTAGAGGTTCATATCTCTCAGGGCTAGGGCTTTTGTATCCTAATAAATTGGAATATTGGGTTACAGATCAATATAATTTCTCAAATATTTGTATAATTTGTATTTACTTCTTTGGTATATATTTTACCTATATATGTATATGGGTCTTATACACCTTGAAGCCACATATTATTCTTCCTTAAACTAATCTAGATAATTGCATTCTTTTGCAGGTACGTAAACGTTTCTATATGTAACATATGCCATATAAAACATCATCACCACGAATGCACTCTCAGGATAAGTACTGAAAATATTCATATTTAAATATGTTGTTGGTGTGGGTGTGGGTGTGTGGAATTTCCTTTTTAATTTCCGATTCATGTTGACCCAATTGATGGGCCACTTACTCGGATTGTCATACGCGTAAAAACCACTCGGGGACTCTCTCCATTAGAGCTCTCCAGAGGACTGGCGAGGCCATCATAAAGTTGGATCTGTTGATTTACGATACTGAAGCGTGTGACATGTTATTATCTTCGACTGTGTGGCTGTGGGGTCCCTCAGTGAAGCATTAACCGCTGAATGATATGTTTAATTCGTACTTTCCTTTCCGCTCGAACCGCTCGAGCACACTCCCGAGCCTTTGCTCAGTAAAATGGAAAAAAATATTATGAAATCATTCAATCATGCGACGCAAGCCGGACACGGCAGTCATTCATCCGCCGCTCGGATGTGGCATCCACTTTTATCCCCATCACTCTGTGGGCCTGTTTGTCTGTGTGCCCCCAAGGCGTTTTGCGACTTGGCGGCCTCCCCAGCCATTCCTGCGGCGGCGGCTGTCGAACGCGAAACAAAAAGTTAACCCAAACTTGTATGAAAATACTCCCCCGAGGTAGAGGCAAACCCATGGAGCACTCGTGGGAGTGCGATATTTGCTTTTTTACCATGGATTCCCATCGGATATTAATGGGCACAGAGTATTTGCTATGGAATTGCGGTCTTCCGAGCCATATCGAGGGGTTTTACGGGTTCCAAGGGAACACCTTGCTCGCCTTTCACCTGCACTCAATCCAGCATTTCCCAAAGAAATACTAGCTGTTGGAAAATACTCAATCAAATTGTCTGTGGCAGACAGAGAAACAGACAGCCCCCAGGCACTGCAGCAATTTTCGGTTCCGGTCCGCTCCAGTTGCACAGTTCCGCCTTCTGTTGACGCACGTGTAGCATGCAGCACCAACAAGAGTACTTGGTGGGGGGGGCCCTTCTGCCACAATTAAGTTTTATGAAAAATTTGTTCGCTTTCTGTGGGTCCTTCAAGGGAAGGGTATGATGATTCCGACAAAATGCTTGCCACGCTGAGAGATCTACAAGTATTCCGTTCTTCTTCTAATTTGGGAACACAAATCTATATTTCCTTCAGAGAATTTAGGGAAAACCAAATCGGATCACAAATATCTGATAGGTAGAATGGTTATGCCAGGGTATTAAAATCTTTGATAGGCTGCTCCACTTGTGGCCTGGCCACAACTACGTCAGCAGCAGAGGCACAGCGTCAGAGTGTGGGGCGATCTGCGATGGAATGGTGTGTGTGGCGGGGAGGGCGGGGAGGGCTGGGAGGGTGCACGCAGATGTGGGATAGACGCATGGAGGCGAAATTGAAATGCAAATTGAAAGGCACAAAGCGAGAATATGCCAGGCGAACAATCAAAGTGGGAGACAAAGCAGCGCACGGCGAACGGCGAACGGCGCACAGCGACCGCAGAGGCGCTAACGTCAGCGCAGAGCAGAGCAGAGCAGAGCAGAGCAGAGAGGAAAATGTCACCAGCAGAGCAGCCAAATGAAAAGCAACCGCCAACAAGCCGCAAAGAGAGTGCCGCCCGGCAGGCGGGAGAGCACAGCAGAGAGAGCAACATCGGTGTCAGTGCTGCCCAGTCAGGGCTAGAAAATAACAGCTGATAAAGGCCAAAACTTTAGTTTTATCTCTAGACGAAATTTTAAAGAGAGTGCTGCCAAGGGAGAGATGGGGTAATGCTGCAAATATGAGAATATATAATCCCCAATTTGATGTCAACTCTCGCTCTTAAATCTTAAATCTTAAAGCTAAAAGCCCACTCCAGATCAGCATCACTGATCGCGGGAATACTCACCACACGCTGCCGCAGCCACAGCCGCACTGAGGTGACAAAGCGTCTCTGCCGCCACCTCTACCGCTACCGCTGCTGCCGTTGCCGTTGCCGTTGACGTTGTCGTTGACTTTGACTTCGCTCGGTCGCCGCCGCCGGGGGGCTGCTCAGTCGCGTTGTGGGGTTGGATGCTGCCGCCAGCCGAAAAATTATCGAAACCGGGAAAGATATACATTTTTCATTAAAAAAAAAACACGAAAGAAACAGCAATAAAATAAGACAACGGAAAAACGCGCGCGAATGTCTCACTCATTCACTGTCCAACACGTTAACCGGCGGAACAGTAAAGTGCGCAAAGGGAATACACAACCAAACGAATGAGAAAAGTGTGACAGAAGAAAAAGTGTAGCCAAAGGGCGGTCAAGAAAAGGTGCGACCACAAGCAGCAAATTAAAAAAGTTTAGCCAAAATTATTAGAGCGAAAAGTGTAGCCAAGAGCAGGCAAAGAAATAGTGTTACCAAAGAGCAACTAAAGAAAAAGTGTTTCCCAGGAGCAACCCAAGAAAAGGTGCTACCAAAAAGCAACCAAAGAAAAATAGTTACCAAGAAGCAACCAAAGAAACAGTGTTACCAAAGAGCAACCCAAGAAAAAGTGCTACCAAGAAGCAACCAATGAAAAAGTGTTACCAAGGAACAACCCAAGGAAAAGTGCTACCAAGGAGCAGGCAAAGAAAACGTGTTACCAAAGAGCAACTCCCGAAAAAGTGCTACCAAGCAAATGTTAAAAGTGTGACCAAAAGTAGCAAATTTTCAAAGTGTGACCAAAAGAAGCAAACAAATAAAGGTGTATGCATTGGAAGGTGATTTCCCGCCATCAACCTGCAGGAAAAAAATTCAGTAAAACCCTTCGACGAACACCAGAGAGAAAGAGTGCGAAAGTAATATTATTCTTGTTCTAGAGTTCAAATCAAAACTAAACTCAGAAGACGGGTCAATTAGACTCCCCCCCTCCCCACCCAAAACTAAAATGAAACCAACAGCAATGGAAATGGAAATTCCAATGGGTTTTAATTGAGACGAACGCGCCTGGGGGCATGGGGGAAATTGTAAAAATTCAATTAATTTAATCAATGAACTTGAAACAGAAAGCGAAAACGAAAACGAAAACTCGAGCGTAAAGCGAACAAAAGGAGAATTACCGAAATCAGCAGAACCCGAAAAATGAAAATAAATATGAAAGAAGCCGTAGGTCAGGGGGTTGAAAACCCGTCAAAGAAGTCAAACAGAGTTCAATGCTAGATGATGATGAGATCTTTCAGTATTTACAAGGAATGACTTCAGTTATAGAAAGATTCTATGGATATTTATTGAACGGATAAGATAATTCTATAAGATATCTCCGTATATACTATATATTTAGTACTTGGATTCAGTGGAAAATCTGTGTCGTATCACATTTTGCAGTCTATGTGCATATGTTATCTTTTTTGTTTTATCGCAGATCATTAAATATTTGATATGGGTTGCCTGATAATTTGAAATTAATAATATTCTACCATAATAGCACCACATATCTTCTGGTTCATCTGATTCATCGATGGCCAAAGTATTGCAGCTCATCGAGAGTGAATCATGAGTGATTTCGCACTCCAACGAGTACGTTCCATTCTGAGATTTTTGTGTCGCGTAAAACCCCAAATATACTCATGTTTCGAGGCATTGAAATGTTGTAATTGTTTTTCTTCTGCTCTCTGTTTTCTGCTCAGTCTTTGTGTTGTTCCTGCCTGTTCTTCCCAAGTCTTGAGATTCTTCTCTGGCCGTTCCCTTTCTCCTGATTTTACACTTTCTGCTTCTATCGTCGTTTTCTTGGCCTCTGTGGCGGCATGTGAACCAAAAGGCTAACTGCCAGCCATGACATTTCAAGAATTTCACACTCATTTATCGGAAAAGCGGGAAAATGCAGGGGGAAAACTAGCCGCAGAAGGGAAGGGAAGAGGCACAGGGGGACAGCGACACAGAGAGACACACACAAAGAGTAGAAAAACGAAAGGTGGCAAACTATGAGACGAAAGGACAGTGGGGTGCGAGGGGGTGAGCGAGGGGGGGGGGGGGGGGGGGGATGGGATGGGATGGGTTGGGATGGAAGAAAGGAAAGCGAAGGAATGGCAGAAGTACGTCGCATTTCGTTTATTTGATTTGATTTATTGTCGATTTGTTGCTGTTGGGTTTTTGCTCTTTCTTTTTCTGGCTTGTTGTGGCAGCTGCTCCCCAGCCAAATAAAAAAAAAAACACAACCAAAAACAACAACAATATCGAAGGGGGGCACCCAGGGGGCAGAGTCCGAGCCACGCCCACGAAATTGTTGGGCCACGTGAGAAATTTTAGAAATACTGCATTCGCAATTGCAATTTTTGTGCGACCAAGAAATTATTTTCCATCTAAATGTAAGACTTCACCGTAGGCGGTAGCACATCTCAGAGGTTTGAGGGTTTAGAGAGGGTCCAGAGAGGGTCCAGAGAGGGTCCAAAGAGGGTCCAAAGACGGTCCAGAGGGGGTCCAGAGAGGGTCCAGGTTTGGTTTTCCTATAAACGCACACACACGAATATATCCGAGTGTTTTTTTTTTAAATAAATACCAAAAATCACACACATGTTTTAGATTTGAAAAGTCTGTCTCTCGCTCGCTCTCTCTCTCTCCCTCTGCTGTCTGCTGTTTCTTATAATTAACTTAAGTATTTTTAGCAAACAAAAAAAAAACAGCAACAACCGAAATATGAACATGATGTCTTCTCATCCGTTGTCGTTGTCGTTGTCGTTTGCTGCCGGACAAAGCAAACAAAAGTATTTCAATTAAAATCCCAATCTACATAGAAGGCAAAGGAAAATCACGAAAAAGACAAAAAGCAAGTGGCGTCCGTCCAGAATTGATTCCAGCCTGAAAAAACAAAAAATACCCAAAACCTGAGCATCACCTGCTTACGAGTGTCCGATGTTTTCCGATGTCACGCGCTCCTACTATGACGCGTCTTTGATCCAATGCTCTTTGTTTATCCGTTGGCTTAAATTCATTCATAAATTTTATACCCCATTGTGCAATAGATTAGGAACAACAGCAGATAAAAGATGCAAGATAAAAGATGGAAAGGGCTGCGGAAGTGCTAATGGGGACACAGATAGTACTTGGATAGAACAACAAATAGGGTCTCTGGAACTGGTGCCGAAGGTGCTGCTGGGAGGAGTCTTTGAAGAGTCGAAAGTGTGGAGTTGCCAGTGACTTCCAGCAAAAGATACTCTTTTGAGATACTTCTTTACATTCGCAGAGGTTTTAGATAATTGAGATACTTACTGGCTGTCGTACTTATCCCCTTGATGGAGTTCCTTAAGTTTTCCGAATCGGAACCTCATCACCCCCCCCCCCCCCCCCTGCGATTCGATTTTCGTTTAATTTTACTAATTGTTGAAAAACTTTTGCCCAAGACGGCATCCATTGAAATCCAGAGGAGGCCCATCAATGGTGGCAGTTTGTCTGAAAAGTTTTCGCCAGAGAGATTTTCCGGTTGCCCAGACATTTCTGTATTTGTATCTATATCTGCATCGCTTAATGCCAATTAAGAATATTAAATTCGTTTGCCCTTTGTGGAGTGGGTGAGGGAGTAGGAGTGGGAGTGGGAGGGGGGGGGGGGGGGGAGGGGGGGGTCGGCTCCATTGTTTAATATTCATTAGCTTAAAATCCTTTTCTCGAGTTGTTGCCATTTCAAGGACCAGGCCACAGTTTCGGAGAACGGAAAGCGAGCACAACGCAGGACTTGCAGATAATTTTTCATTTCGGCTCAAATGGATTTCTCTTCCCATTGGCTTAAATGTGCCAAATGAATGGCTGATATATATTTATTATTTATACGAAAAACCATATCTATTTCCAGCTGCCAAAGCGCTTTCCTGTGGGCGTTTATAAATAGATCTTTGGAACCCCTTTCCTTATTCCCCCTCAGGGTTACAGGTGATGCAGCCACCTCGTTCAAATATTATTATTTTTTATTTATTCAATCATTTTCTGTATATTTTTTTGGCAGAGCAGAGCCACAGAGGAAGCCCGGGTAAAAATATATTGGGGGGGGGTGGGCTGTGTGGAGGCGGCCGGCTGCTGTGCAAAGTGTCATTATTGAAAAAAAGTACAAATATCTCAAGGTTCTTATTGATTTTGTCAGAGAGAGAGAGAGAGAGAGAGAGCGATAGTGCCCCTGCCGCCATCCGTGCACCTTCCTTTCAACTAAATCTGAATCTGAATCTCAATCGGTTGTAAAATGAGGCCGACAGAAGGTGCGGGAGGGGGGCCGGCCCGCAGATTGGCGACAGCTTTTGCCTTTCATTGGCAAAGACGGGGGCAAGAAATATGGACCTCTGTCTTCAGTCCCCTGCGTCTGTCCAGACCTTCCCACTCTTCAAAGGTGCCATCAAAATTAAACGCATTTGAATTTCGAATTTTAAATTTTTCAACTTGCTATTTTCCTATGCCACGTCACGAGTCCGTACGGCATGATCTAGTAGGCCTTTTCGGAACAAAAACCTGCCCTCAAAGCAATACGAAAAATTTCTGAAACATAGTTGGCGCTGGACTGGTTTCTATATGGACATTTTCTATATTTTTGAGCCCAGTCCGGAATTTTCTCAGTTACAGCTCGAAGTCGTAACGAGCAGCATCTAAGTACAAAAACAAAATATACAATTTAACAACTTATATTTTTTTTTCACCACACAAAAAGTATTTTTCCGGTACTAAAAACGAGTGTTGTAAACGGATCAACTATTGTTGATGACCAGCAAAATTTTGTGAATAAAGAAAACAAAACAAAACAAAACTAGAACGTAAGAAAGATTTGAACAAATATTTGTTGGCCAATCAATCAATCATTTCTAATTTCCGATCCGAAAACCCAAAACCCTAAAGCCAATCATCGAACAATGGAGCCGGCCGTGTGCAATCCGCGAGTGAACGGTCAGAACCACGATGGCAACGATGTGTTGAGCGACGACGAGAAGCAGGCCATAGATGATATCAAAGGCATCTGTTTGAAGACCGTCGAGCTGGGAATGAAGCTGCACCGCGAGATCTATGCGCTGGAGGAGAAGGCCGAGCCGGAGCACAATATTCTGTACGACGAGCGCAAGAAGGTCATTGACGGCCTACGCCAGAAGCACAAGGGGGACTCGCTGGCCAAGAACATGGGCAACTTCTGGCTGTACGTCCTGAAGGCAGCCGTCCAGCAGTGTCCGGAATTCGCCTGCACCAATGAGATTGGCGACGTGGAAGCGGAGGTCCTCTGCCACATAAGTGACATACGCAGCAAGCTCTACACCGAGCCGGAGCTCAAGTTCGATATCGTCTTTCACTTTGAGCCGAACGTCTACCTCAAAAACGATTATCTGCGCAAGGTGTACTACATCAAGTGCAAGGCGGACCCCAAAGAGCCGCAGGCCTACGACGGCGCTGAGATCTACCGGACGGAGGGCACAACGATCCACTGGACCTCGCCGGCACTCAATGCCAAGTACAGGAAGACCTTCTTCAAGTTCTTCATGCCTCCAGCTCTGCCCTACAGCAGCGATGAGCCCAACTATAAGGAAATCAACGAAATCTTGGAGCACGACTTCCGGTTCGGCTTCTACCTGAAGGAGCATGTCATACCCAAGGCCGTGTACTACTTCACGGGTGAGATCAAGGAATCCATGGGATCGTCCAGCTCCACGGAAGACGATAATGACAACGACGACGACGGCGACAACAACAACGAGGATGAATCCGGATCGGCGGGCTCGGATAGCCTCGACCCGAACGCCTCCGAGGACGAGAAGGATGATGATGACGAAGAGGAGCCCGAGGATGTGCACGTCTACGGGGAATTGCTGGACTCCGAAGACTGGTCCTTCGACTCGGGAGATTCCATGGACTCTGGCAATTAGGTTGCGCTCCTAAACGATACTTAAGCACTTCAATTGTACACTTCCAAGAGACACGGAGTTTTTAAACAATTGCTTTGCCATCCCCCCCCCCCACACACACACAGACACACAGACACACACACACACACACACAGACACACACACACACACACAGACACACAGACACACACACACAGACACAGGACACACCACAAAAAGGAGATGTTAAGAAAGCAATTGTCTACCACGCGATCGAAACAATTGTTAACAAAACAACCACAAAAAAACCTTCAATGATGCCTGTTCCTATGAAATAAATCATAGCATAAAATTGTATTTCTTTGTGCTGCTTTTTCTAGAGCCAAGACTTGAGATTTCTGGCCACTGGATTTCTGGACATTCCGCATTCCATTCGTATTGAGAAGCTGTCAAAAACCGCACAGCCCACTGCCATCTGAAATATTTCGACAGAGAGAGAGAGAGAGCGAGAGAGAATGACAGCCAGGGCCTGAATTTTAGTTACATTTTGACCTGAAAGTCATGGCCATGGCCGTCGAAGGATGTGCATTTCATTTCCAGTTGGATTTCAATCAAAGACATTTCCTGTGCAGATATTTGATAAAATAATTGCCTGTTGCAAGGTCATTTATGGGAAAACAAACTCCCATATCGGTGGCTTTTGTAACACGAACACACGCACAGAAAATCGAAGGGAATACAATGGCAGCCGTAATTGGCTTTTCGAAGTTGACAAAATGTTTGCACGAAATTAATTTCCACCGAACGTTTTCGGACCAGCCAGAAGACTCGAATTTCTCGGCAGATGAGAATCCCTATGCCTTGTGCCCCGAAGGCAACAGCAAAGGCTTAGGCGGACACTCGAGATGCAGCAAAATGGGAATGTTATTTGATCAACTATTAGCAGAAAACCATTTCAGCATCCTTCGTTCTTGGCAAGGGACTGTGTCAATGCTTTTCGCCAAGACACTGCACTTGGCAAATTGATTTGCCATTCGATTTGCCTGCCACCCCCCAGACTTGCAGTTTCTTTTGTGATCTCTTGGGGTATAATTGCAGGCAACCAGGAGACACAACCACAAGAGCAGAAATCCCCACAGACAGTGCATCTTTAGATATTCATAATTGGTTTTCGGCATTTTGTATTTCGTTATAGACAAATGTTACATGGTTACTGGGTTTTTTGTGTGTGCTATGGCTGCAAAATTTGTGTATCGCATTTTGCCAGATGGGCCTTGGCAGTATATAATGTTGAGGTGGGCCCTCGGGCTGTGATTTCCAACCGCTTCATCGACCTCAAAGAGCACGTGGTGGGCGGTGGCATGCACATCTTTATAGCATGGATGCAGCGGTCCATTACTTTCGACATACGCAGCCAGCAACCGCAGCGTCTCAGTCATCATGGGCAGCAAGAATTTGCAGAATGTTAACATTATACTACGCATCCCGTTGCCGATCTATGACCGATCGATCGATCGAAGATCTACAGGGTGTCCTGGGTGATGCCCGAGGGTTGTGTTGATTGTTGCAACATCTTTGTTGCAGCTCTCGTCGCCTTGAAATCATCGAGATCCCGCTCCTGTATCTGCCCCTTCCTTCGGGCGTGTGTTAACGTCTTTTCGATTTGTTTCCGCTGAAATATGCACTATTGCAAGGCGCAAGATTATTAACTGAAGAAATGCTGCGAAACAATCAAAAATTTACCCCTATTCAATGGTTTTTCCTCACTGTCGCCGGGGAGTGCCGCAACGCGGCTCAGGCACGCCCCGACAATTGATTTCAAACTAAATTCGAAAACTTTTTTAAGCCTAAACAAGAAATTTTGATTTTGTGAATAAAAATGAAACTTGGAGAAAAGTTACAGCTGTCAAACTAGAGAGGAGACCAGCCCGGCATCGATCCATCGATAGTAGGAACAAGTACATTATCGAGTACCCAGCTTCAGACCGATGTTTTGGTGTCACCTTTTGTCCCTATCGATAGTATCTTAGCATCTGCCAAATATTTCATGTCAAGAAATCGCGTTTTGTAGAGATGGACTGCAAAACCTACTCGGAAATAGTGAAAAAAACATCGGTACATGTTCCATGTGTGTTCGCAGAACGAGATCACAGGCCACGTCACGATAGTGTGCTAGCTATCGAGAAAGTATCGAGTACTTGGCTTGAAGCTATCGATGCTTTTACCATTCTACATTTTTCGGCATCAAGCGGGCCATGACAAGCAACATTTTTGACACTTCAAACTAGTATAAAAGTCGGGTATCCAGGCACATATAGCTCATACAGTTTTTGCCTGCCATACGGATCGTTAGCTCTCGGAAAAACCTTAAATTGTGATTTTTACAAATTTTCTAACCAAAAAAAAAAAATAAAAAAAGTTCAAGTAAGTGTGAAAAATGGCAGGCGTCTGTCAAAATGGCGGCGACAAATTTTTGTGAAAATTTCATTTACCGAATAGGAAAAACGAATCAAAATGGAGAAACAAGCAGCCAAAGTGTCCGCCGTGGTGGCAATTGAACAAAATGATGCCGATAAGAAGCAGGGCAAAGACATATTCTCCGCCGAAGAGCACAAGGCCATCAAGGAGTTGCGTGCCATCTTCAAGGAGACCATCGACCTGGACATGGAGATGCAGTCGGACATCTACCGCCTGGAGATGCAGTACCAGTCGCGGTACCAGGTGCTCTACGACGAGCGCAAGAAGCTGCTGAACAAGGTGCGCCAGCAGAACCGCGGCGACGGCGAGTCCAAGTCCAGTGGCGATTTGCAGAGCTTCTGGATGCAGGTGCTGAGGGCCTCCTACTCCAAGATAATTCGCCCAAATGATGAGAAAATTCTCGTCCACTTGAACGACATCAGTACGCGGATTTTCAGCAATCCATCTAGGTTCGTAATCAGTTTCCATTTCGATCCGAACGAGTACTTCTCGGACGCTGTGCTGAACAAAACGTACTACCTGAAGTGCGAGCCTGATCCGGAGACTCCGCTCATTTACGATGGCGCCGAGATCGTCAAGACCGAGGGGTGCACCATACACTGGACCAAGCCCCTCTGTCCAAATGAGGCGGCCTACTCCTTCTTCAATTACTTCAGTCCGCCCCTGCTGCCAGCGAGCAAATGCGACCCCAAATACTGCGAGATCAGTGCGATTCTCCAGAGTGACTTCCAAATGGGCTTCTACCTCAAGGAACGGGTGGTGCCGAAAGCAGTCATATTTTTCACCGGAGAAATAAGGGACTGCCAGAGCACTACCAGCTCCTCGGACTCGGATTCAGAGTCGTCGGAGAATAAACGAGCATCGATCGAGGCCGTAGGCGGGAATTCAACCGATGATGATGATGATGATGAATAAGTGCAGAAACACAAAATACTTCAAAGCTCCCATACATATTTCACAATTCTCAAACAAGCAATTCCAAGAAAGTACCAAATGCCAGACACTCCTTTCTTGGATACTCCATCCACACACACACACACACACACAACACAACACAAGATGGAGGCGACACAAACCATATTCCAAAGCTAACAAAGCAGTGCAACAATATTTCAAAGAGTGACTGGCCCCAACAATTTTAAACACAAACATGCCACACAAACGAAATGTATTTCACAACAATCTGTAAGAGAAGATACCCAATTGACATTATAATGGTTCGAGCGCAATCCTTATTCTTCTTTTTATTTGATTACAATTACCACAGGGTGCCGTTCGCTTAGGGGCATGCGCTCCATTCAAGTGGTCTTCCACTGCACTGAGGCTATAGAGGGGTTGCTTTGTGCATGGGGGCATAGGTCACGTCAATCACAGTCACAGTCACACACACACACACGCACACACGCACACACACTGAGACCCGCTACATTTAACCGTAAATCAAGCGTGGATGCCAAAAGTTGCTGTTGGCGCGTCAAAAACAGCGCACAAAACGCGCTCAAAAACCGCACCAAAAAGGCGCGAAAAAACACAGCACGCAAAACCCACCCAAGGGGGTGGTCTGGGGGGTGCTGGGGCTGGCCCGTAAACGTTGACAATTGACATGGAAAATCTGCAAGCCATTTCGAAAAGCAACCAGCAATTTTCCAGGCCAATAAAAGGGGAATGCCCCCCCCCCATCCGTGCTCCTTGCGCCCCGGAAGCCCTGCACCCTATCGCTTCCTGCCACCCCGAAGAGTCAGATGGACTAGCATTATGGGGGCACGTAGCCCGGTGGGGGGACCCCTCTTACCTTGGAGAAAACAGAGAGAAAAAACAACCAACAAGAACAAAAAACCGAGTCACATTTTTCCCGTGTATTGCCATCTGATAAGAATTTAATTACAATGCATATAAACAAAATGTATACAAATGCTATTAAGCCCACACGCATGGGCGGCCCCGACCGCTCTGGACACTGGCGGTGCGGCGGCAGGGGATTGGCGAGGGGGGAGCGGCGGTGGCTTGATATCCAAATGAAACCCATTTGAATGGAAATGCTTACTCCTCTGTGGGGAATTGTTTATACTCTTGTGGCAAAAGGGATTATTACCCACGAGCGCCACTTCCTGAAAAAGTAGAAAAATGCAGAGATTTTTGGGCTTGCTTTTTGGTATTTTTTTTTTCCCCACATTTTTTGACACTTTATTCAAAGGCATTCTCGATTGTGGTATTATTTATAGTTATTTGTAGTAGATGAAAGGCGGTCATCTAATAAAGAATATTTTGCAGAAGAGTTTTACCTGCATCACTCTTTCTCTCTCGTGGCAGAATAATGCTAAAATATACATCGTAATTTAGAACAGAAAATGGGAATAGCGTACACGCCGAAAGGGAGTGAAAGTGTATAAATACGTGTGTAATAACAAGGCAAAAGCCAAACAAAATCTCCGGTCGGAATCTTTATGCGCCATAATGACAGCCGCAGAGACACGGACCGTGGAATCAACAGCCGCAGCAGCAGCGAAATTAGCAGCGAAATCAGCCAACGAATCGCAGTCACAGAGCCCTTGAAAAACGGTATAGAAATCGCATTCGGGAAAGACTCGGCATCAGCGGAAGAGCAGCAGCAGCAGCAGCAGCAGTAGCGGCGATAAAACAGAGACAGAGAAATCAAAGCGAAAGAGAGTGGAGTGGAGTGGAGTGGAGTGTGTAATGAACTGAAGTGAGATGTAAAGCATTGTGCACACACACACACACACACACACACACACACACACACACAAGAAGAAGAAGAGTAGACTGAGAAGAAGAAGCAATTGTGCAAGAGAGTGCCATGTTCATATCTTATTTGAACTGCGACAGCCCTAACGCCAACGCCAACGCCAACGCCAGCGTCAACGCCAGCAGCAACGCCAGCAGCAACGGCAGCAGCAATCCATCAGCAGAGCAGCGGGTGTGGGGAATGGAGCGGCTACTGCATGCAGTGCGTGAGGAATTCCAAACCGAAGACGAAAACGAAGAAGACGACGCTGAGCACAGCGACTGCGACAGCAGTACCAGTAGCTCAGCAGCAGAGGCAGCGGCCGACAGCAGCCAGCCGCTTTCTCAGTCACTGCCATTGCCGCAGTCGCTGCTCCTGCAGCAGCAGCAGCAGCAGCAGAAGGCAGCACGTCGTAAGCTGCAGCGCAGTGACAGCTTTGAAACAGGAACGGGCATGCCCATGCTTGCATGGACGGAGACGGCTGCTGGTGCAGGAGGTGTAACAAGTGCAGCTGCAGCTGCGGGTGCAGCAGGGGGTACAGTTCGTCGCTTTCGACGCTCCTCCATTGGAATGCAACGAAAGTCGGCATTTCGACAAAGGAAGCTCGACTCGCTGGGGGCGTGGCGACGCAAGAGGTGAGATGCTGCCATTGAGTGAAAAACTAACCTCCGAAATGGTATAGCATCCTTAACCCAAGCAAAACCTCATCGCCTACCACACTTAACCCTAGAAAATGTAAAACCAATTTTAAGCGCACGTTTTCTTTTTCGTATCTTTCAAGCAGGCGTACCGCTACAGGCAGCAATGCCCGTCGGCCCATACGCATTGTGCCCGATTGGACAGAGAATGCAATTAATGGCGAGCACTACTGGAAGACCTCGTCGGCCTCCGGCGATCTCTGTTGCCTCAACGAGGAGTGCATTGTAAGTTCAGTACGTATTCCATTTCCCCCCCGACCCGAGTATCGCTTGCTTTTTCAGAGAACAACGGATAAGTGGGGGCCTGGGTGGTTTTTCCCTCAATTCAATTAGGGGGAGACGTACATGTGTGCGTAATTTATTTATTGCGTGCCTGTCCGACATTCACGCAATATCTGGCTCCTTTCGTTTACCGTTTTCCCCATTGCCATCCCCATTGGAGGCGTGACATCAGCCCGCATGTCCTGGCCGCAGGACAGCAGCTGCCAAAATGTAACGAAAATGTACTTTATCTTAGGGGCTCATTGTCCTGCCAGAAGTGGGGCTAGCAGTAGTGGGATTGAGAGCCCCATGTCTTATCTCAATCTCCCATTCAAAGGAGTGCTCTGTCCGTCCGTAAGGATAATTTTCTTGCCAATTTATTCAAATTTAGACATCACTTTTGGTGTTTGTCCAACAAAGACCACAGATAAACACATATGGATTACACTTCATTTGAGGTTTAGGTGTGGAAATAACATTAGCAAAAGGAATATTATACTTAAATTGAAAAGTTCTACGAACTCGATTGTTCGATACAATGTCCGATGTTCGATAAACTCCAGCTCTAATCGAGGGCTTATCGATGGGTTTTAGTAGGGGTTTTTTTTGCTTGGAAGGCCATCAGTACTTGAAGCTTAAAGTGTAATACCTTTCGATTTGTGCTTGTGGCTATTTTGCAGAAGAGCGGCCAGCGTTTGAAGTGCTCCGCCTGCCAGCTGGTGGCCCACATCAATTGCATTCCGTATGTGAACGAGAAGCCGACGCTGCTGTGCAAGCCCACCTATCGGGATGTGGGGATCAGGCAGTACCGGGAGCAGACGACCACCCACCACCACTGGGTGCACCGCAAGATGGAGAAGGGGAAGTGCAAGCAGTGTGGCAAGGTTGGTATTCCCGCCTTTTAGTAGAGTTGCTCCCCTAACTATTCAAATTAGAATATTATGTTTGAATCCATACCGCAGGCCGTTCAGAGCAAGCTATTTGGCTCCAAAGAAATTGTAGCTTTGTCCTGTGCCTGGTGTCATGAGATCTATCACAACAAGGACACGTGCTTCAATCAGGAGAAAATCGGCGAAGAGTGTCGTCTCGGTAAGTTTATCTGTATCTGCATACCCTGCATACCCTGTATACCCTGTATCCCTTGTATCTGTGTACCTATTCCTCTCCTGCTTTTTCGTGCTTTTCCTGCTTTTCGTGCCGCTTTTGCCCCACAATGTACTTCGACGGCCTCCTGCCCATTGTCCTTTGATTAATTACGTGACGTGCATGCAAATAAATTGCGGTCCGTTAGCTTAATTAAAATATGTGCATTAAAACCGAATGCCTAACCACAAAAACAAACAAAAAAAGGAAATCCAGCTCCGGCTCCGGCTGGAACATAACCCTTTTTTGGGCCTTTGCTCTGGCAAATCCTTGTGTATCCTTCTCTGTGGGCTTCAGTTCCAGTTCAGTTTATGGCCCAAATGATAATAAATTGTGGCATTTGTATGTCCATTTCTCTAGGGGTCTCTTCTACTCGACATCTCGATGGACATTGATTAATTTTGTGGGACTTTAATCAACTATTTATCCTTGATCCATGAATGATTCAGGAGCACTTTTTGTCGAAAATCCTCTAGAATAATTATATTCTCCACTTATCTTGGATTGTTGTGCTTTTTTCTTTTGGTTTATTCCCATTTCAATTCTTTTGATTTCAATCTCAATATTCAATATCAATATTTCAGCTTTCAGGAATGTACAAACTAAAAAACACACACACTTCAGACTGCAAGTAGTTTTTCTTTTGTGGACTTTCCATACCATTTTCCACGATAAATACATACAAGCAAGGGGGTCCTGGGCAATATCTCAACCTCAACTTCATTCTGTCAAATGTAGGTTTAATCGTTTGCTTGTTTAAGTTTCTCCTTTGCCTTTGGCTTAGGATCAGGGCAGGGCAAAGTTTAACCTCGTTTCAGACTTGTCAAAGGAGGCAGGCTACTTCTGCAGGGACCCGGACCCGGACCCGGACTCGGACCCGGACCCGGACCCGGATCCTGGCCTTTATTTAACTTAAAGTCGAGTTAAAGACTCCTCTCAAGGCTTCCACCTTGAAATACTCGCACGTTCCACCATAAAGTGTCTCAATGAGCATCTTGTTAACACACTCTCCGTGTGGCAGGCCATCCCCCATTACGCACACTTGCCCCATAGACCATAGACACAGCCATTGCTGGTGCCACTGCCACACGAAGATGGAGTCAAGACAACGCGCAAAAAGAAAGGAAAAAGAAAACAATTACCCCGGAGAGTGGGTTGCCACTGCCACTGCCACTGCCACTGCCACTGACTCTGCTGTGTGGCCTTTATGCCCCACTGGCCACTGGCTGTGGCTGTGGCTGTGGCTGTGGCATTCATAATTGCTCTTTGGTATGTCGCTTATGCTGGGGCTTACCATAGCTACTGCTACTGCTACTGCTGCTGCCACTCCTGCTCTAGCGATTGGATGGAAAAGGAAAATTGAATTTAGTTGCTTGGCAATCCTCAAGCACTTTCCACTCAATTAGCCCAGCCAGGGCCTAAACCCCGAACCAACGAACATCTATCCATCTTGGCTTACTCTCTCTCTCATTTACTCCCACACTCTCCGCAGGCAACTATGCACCGATTATTGTGCCGCCATCGTGGATTGTCAAGCTGCCGAACAAGGGCAACTTCAAGTCCTCCATTCGGGTGAGCAACAAGAACGCTGCCACCGGCTCCTCCGCTGCTGGAGCCGGCGGTGGCACTGCAGCTGGGGCACCTGGCGGACCCGGCGGACCCGGCGGTCCCGGTGGCAAAGGCAAGAAGCAGACCCAGCGCCGGCAGAAGGGCAAGGACGAGAAGAAGGGAGAACCGCGCGCATTCATCGTGAAGCCCATTCCATCGCCGGAGGTAATACCGGTCATTGTCTTTATTAATCCCAAGTCCGGTGGCAATCAGGGCGTCAAGCTACTCGGCAAGTTCCAGCATCTCCTGAACCCACGCCAGGTCTTTGATCTAACACAGGGAGGTCCCAAAATGGGGTAAGTAGTACTTAAGAATTTCAAGATTTTCCCAGGCAGAGAATCATTCAGGAACAGCTGTTTTTAAGCAGGGAAATGATAGAAAGACGGATCGTAATGCTATGTTCAGGACTTAAACTTAATCCGATAGAGAAATATAATTTATTCAAATATTTAATGGTCAATTACAATCAGTAACTTAAGGAATGTTGCTAGTCGTGTGGGATTAGAATAGTAGGCACCACCTTAGGGTGGCAATACACCTATGTACATATGATCCATAGATGAGAAGAGAATGACAGTGTACGCTATACTGGATAGTATGTTAGGAATTCCTGTGTCCAAAGACTGTCCTTAGTCGATAGACTCCTTCCTATAAAGTTTTGCGAAGAGAATGTCCGTGTGCCATGTCTAAAGACTGTCCTTATGCGAGAGAGCCTTTCCGATAAGGCCATGTAAATATGGAGAATTAATCAGAATTAAGTTATCAATAATTTCAATCATAATCCCATATATAAACACCATTTGTAAGCTGGATTAAGTGTAAGGAAATACCCTCAGCGATATTTCACATCTCCCGCCGTCAATCGATAGTTTTAGACACAATCGATACATTTCATTATAGAAAGCTTCGATCTGTGCCACCTTTGGGCACTGTAGTGCTATAGCTATAGTCTTTCGTTCATGCAAATCTGTATTTAATTCTCATTTTTGCATTCTCATTCGTCCCACCATTAAGTCTGGACATGTTCCGCAAGGCGCCAAATCTTCGGGTTTTGGCCTGCGGCGGCGATGGCACCGTCGGCTGGGTGCTCTCCGTCCTCGATCAGATCCATCCACCATTGTCGCCGTGCCCGGCCGTCGGTGTGCTGCCGTTGGGGACGGGCAACGATCTCGCTCGCGCTCTCGGATGGGGCGGGGTAAGCACTCTATACCCAGTGATACCCTCGATTGCACTGTCCTTATAGTACTTCTCCTGTCAGGGCTACACGGACGAACCGGTGGGCAAGATCCTACGCGAGATCGGCATGTCGCAGTGCGTCCTCATGGACCGCTGGCGGGTCAAGGTCACGCCCAACGACGATGTCTGCGATGACCACATGGACCGCAGCAAGGCGAACGTGCCCCTGAACGTGATCAACAACTACTTCTCGTTCGGGGTGGATGCCCACATCGCACTGGAGTTCCACGAAGCGCGGGAGGCCCATCCAGAGCGCTTCAATTCGCGGCTGCGCAACAAGATGTACTACGGCCAGATGGGGGGCAAGGATCTGATCCTGCGCCAGTACCGCAACCTCTCCCAGTGGGTGACGCTGGAGTGCGATGGGAATGACTTCACCAGCAAGCTGCGGGACGCCGGCTGCCATGCCGTCCTCTTCCTGAACATACCCAGGTGCGAAAGGAGAATGAGCTATAGATTTTGTTCGATGAGGCGATCTAAACACTTTCCCTTTCCGCAGCTATGGCGGCGGCACCCACCCGTGGAACGACTCGTTCGGGGCGACGAAGCCCACCATTGACGACGGCCTGATGGAGGTGGTGGGGCTGACCACCTACCAGTTGCCGATGCTGCAGGCGGGCATGCACGGCACCTGCATCTGCCAGTGCCGGAAGGCGCGCATCATAACGAAGCGCACCATACCGATGCAGGTGGATGGTGAGGCGTGTCGCGTGAAGCCGTCGATCATTGAGATCGAGCTGTTGAATAAGGCGTTGATGCTGACCAAGTGCAAGAATGGACGTGGCGATGTCCAGTGAGTGATATTCAACGGACGCGGCCTGTCCACCACTAAACCCTTCTCTAATCACAGAGTAAATCCCCTGGAGAAGCTTCAATTGAATATCCTGCGCATTACGATGCAGCAGTATGAGCAATACCACTACCAAAGGGAGATGCTCAGTAAGCTGGCGAACAAGCTCGGCCAGATCGAGATCGACTCACAATGCGATCTGGATCATGTCCGCAATATGCTCAACGCCAAGTTCGAAGAGTCCATCACCTACCCGAAGGTATCGCAGGACTGGTGTTTCGTAGACGGTAAGTCCTGCTCGAGCCTCAATCTGCATAGCCCCACAAATAATCTATGAGTTCATGTTTCTCCTTTTTGTCTCTTTTCCGTTGAAAGCCTGCACTGCAGAGCACTACTTCCGCATCGACAGGGCGCAGGAACATTTACACTACATCTGTGACATCGCCATTGACGATTTACTCATTCTGGATCACGAACTCGCCACCATGCCCCAAACACCCGACCAAGAACGCTCCTTTGCCGCATTCTCGCAGCGTCAGGCCCAGACAGAGCGCCGACAGATGGACCAGGCCCAGGGCCATGCACCAGGCAGCACCGGTAGGCTTCTTCTGTTATCTGCCTGCTGGCCACCAAAACAACAGCATCAGCCACAGCCACAGCAAGGGCAACAGGTGGCACAACCAGCGGTTGCCACCAGTGTTGATGAGCTACCGCTGCAAGAGCGGCTGGAGCTCTACCAGCGTGAGGTGGCCGCTCAGCTGCCGTTCATTGATAGACGCATGTTCTGCCACCTCCACTTTCGCAAGAAGCGGTTCCAGCTTTGAGCATTCGGAGAGGGGATGGCTGTCTCTTCCTTTCCCGACACTCCACCCTGGCTCCCTGTTCTCTTCTGTTTCATTTATCTTCAATCGTCATCTGTTATCGCGAACGTTGTGCTGTTGCACGTTTAGCCACTAACAAAAAGAACAGACACTCACATAGCACATAGTACAAAAAACATACAAACACCCACTCGTAACACCTCCCGATATGTCAGTGTCTTAAGGAACCGAATACAGCTTAGTCCTTGCCACAATAGCATGTAAGTAGAGCATTAAATACGAACCAATCTTTCTCTCTCGATTACTTACGATATGGTATATAATCTCGGCTTACATTAACAGTTAACCGTAGCAAGGACCAAACCGTATTCCGGTCTCCACACCACCTCCGGTATACCTTCGAACAAGATATCCCCAATATCCATACACACTAGAAACCACACACAATGAAACCCCCAGGGTAGGTTATGGCTCCTCTCTGGTAGTGGATACACCGATATCCGTTTGATCTCTATGTATCTGTCTATATATCGTACTTGTCGATACCGATATATGTACGTTCGATCAGTCTGTTGTTCGACTAATCGATTATCTGTTTGAACTAGCTATCGTTGAAATCTATCTACTTATCTTGAAACTTATTCTTTAAGTATTTTTTACAATTATATTTGATTGATGATTTCACTTTTCACTCGTTCAATTGGTGTACTAACAATTTCTACAACTCTTTTCATCGATCTATATCGATACGTGTCGATTATATATACGAAAATTCCACTCACAGACGAGGATTTACAAATTGGCTCCAAGCCCATCAAAGTGATGAAGTGGAAGAGGTAAAAACGAAGCATTCCCTCATCGATTCAGCATTCGATTAACATGCATTCAATCATTGATGCCCAAAACGAGCGAAATGGCACTACAAAAACAACAAAACAAATTAAATCTAATCAAATCAAATCAAATCAAATCGATTTACGCATCTCTATCTCCATCTCTATCCAATTGGCATTACCATAGAGATGCCATCTCGCTTTTATTCGCTCGCCCCCGCTCCCACCACATTCCCGGATGCTTTTCTCCCACTTTCTGTCTTACATTTTGTTTGGTTGTTTTGAATTAATTGATTTCATCATTATTGTGCATGCAGCAACAAAGATCGTTTGTTCAGTTTCAACGAAGATGTTTTTGGTTATGGATTCAGGTATTCTGCGTATCCTTTATCCTATTCCTGTATCTACATTTAATTTGATTTCAACTTCTTTTCTGCCTAAATGTCTGTCCCTGTCTGTTGTGGCCTTCTTCTACTGTACTACTGCATATGTATACCCATTATATCATGACGATCAAAACGATATGTGTATCAACGAATCGGTGCAATGGGAACTTCAATCAAAACAAAACTGATGCCTGAATTTTCTTCTTGTTCTATTTTCTCTCTACTCTTTTATGTGCACATAAAACACCATAAACACACCCACATACACCCATGCATATATATTTATGAATAACAGCCCTATACTGGAACAAACTTCCGATGCCATACTACTAGCAGCCCAAAGCGGTGATCTCAATATGGTAGAACAACTATATCTTCTATATGTATCAATATATGTATAAGCTCCGTAAAACCCCAAACCCAACCACACCCCGCACCCCAGTTGTGTATGCAGTTTGTGGTATCCTGCTCCTAGTCCCTCCCTCCCCCCCCCCCCCCCAATCGTTGTGCCATGTGTTTGGGCCGCTCACTCATTTACCCTCTCACCTATCCTTACAGTTACGTGCACTACATGAACAAGGATACTCATTGCAGTCAGTGAACAAGAACGGAGAGACGGCCCTGCACTTTGCTTGCAAATACAACCATAAGGACATTGTGAAATATATCATCTCATGTGCCACAAAACGCATCATCAATATGCCCGACAAGGACCAGTAAGTAATCGAAGAACAACCAGAGCTACAAGACAGCATGTGAAACCATTTGCCCATTATCTACCAAAACTAATCATTTTCTACTTTGTTTCCACACTTTGTAGCGGACAAACTGCTTTACATATCGCCGCTGATACGACTCGCAGGGAGCTCTGCGTGATGCTGGTGGCCGCCGGGGCTAGTCTGCAGGCACGCAATGCCGAAGGCAACACCCCCATGATGGTGGCCTTCAATCGGAATGCCAACGAGATAGCCACATATTTGGAAAGTAAGGATGTGGAAGCGGTTAAGGATGAGAATGAGGATGAGCAGGACAGCAGCACCATCATCATTGTCTGGCCGCCGCCGTCATCGTCCATGTAGAGCAACCGCTAGACTGTATCGGAGATCCCAGTAGATGTTAGAACAAAAAAACACACACAGACCGTAGAAGATTCACTTGAACCCACATGACCCTGCTTTTAGCGTGTGGCTAAGCCAGACTAGACAGATACCCGACCAGATCATTGAACACTGATTTTAACACTGACAATTTCTCCTTTCTCTGCCAACGAAACCAAACCAAATCTCACAACTGTGAAACGGATATACTCTCAATCTCTATACTATTCTATTCTACAATCTACAAACTACAATCTACAATCTACAACCTACTCAAATACAAATACAAATACAACAAACATTCCATCAACGACGCTTCGGACCTGATCTTAACTGATCCTCAGGTCAGGAGCGTTTCATGCATTTGGAGGTGCAGACCAGAATCTAAAAGGAAAGCCGCTCGCTGACAAAGAAGACGGATTCTCTAACGAAAAGGGTTCTCTTTGGAGAACATCCCATCCCAGTAATCTAAACCCACACTTTTTTTTGCTAGCAAGTAATCGCGGAAATTCGCGGATAGATCGAACAAATAAATCTATTTATTATTAACTAAGCAAACAAAAAACAACAAAAACAAACACAAAAACAAAAACAAAAACATTACTTAGCAAACAAACTATTCAATAATTTATTCAAGCAAACAAAAAACCAATAAGAAAACCAATACCAAAACCACAAGCAAATGCAAATGCAAAGGTAAAGGTTAAAGGTAATGGAACGGCAAGGAAATCAAAGAACAGTTGAAGAGTTTTAGGCTATTTGTTCACTTTGAATTTAAAATTTAAATTAAAAAAAAAAACACTTACTTTATTCTTAAAATTAAATTAAATTAAATTAATTGTATATTTAAATTAAATCAAAACTTTGTGAGAGAAAATTGGCAAATTCTAAATTCGAAATTCGAAATTTATTTGTTTTGTCACTTAAGAAATCGATTAATAATTTTATATTAATTAATTAATGATTATATTGTGATATCTAAATTTAATTGAAACGAGGTAACGAGGCAGCCCCAATTTATTGGAGAGCTGAGGAGAGCAGACGAGAATGCAATGGAGGAATAATGATATTATTATTGTATGCGAAGGCATTTGCTGTACATAAAAATTAATAATCAAGTGTATGCAAACAAAAATTACACAGAAAACACCCCACATACACACACAATATATACCCTCCACATATATTATATCCATATATTGATGTGTATTTGAAAAAAAAAAAAATATATATATATATATAATATTCTTTTGAAAAATTCTACATAGAAATTAAGGAAAAAATGGAAAAATTTTGAATCTCTTGTCCGAGACTCCGCGACGCAAGTTGTGGACGGCACAGAGCCAAAGCAGAAAAAGCAGCAGCAGCATTCTAGTAGTTTGAGTCGAAAAGAGAGAAGCTCTACTCTAAAAAAGTATCGAGTATCTTGTCTCACTCAAAAACATCACACACCACACACCCACAAAGGCAGACAGACAGACAGACGGACAGACGAACGGACAGACATGCTTTCTTATAGAGATACTCTTTTTAGAGAAACTTATGTAGTCCCAATGCACACTTTTGAATGCACAACCCAAACGCTTAGGTCTTAACCTCTCTATCTATCGCCCAACAGCATTTCGGGCTAGACTTTCCCCATCAGGCTAGAGAAACGAAAGGAAGGATGTGACGACACGGACAGCGAAAGGACAGAGTGGAAGGGGGGAAAGAAGAGCCTTGAAAGACATACAGCCTTAGGCTCAATTTGATTTGCGCAAAAAGAAAGGGGAATCTCTAGTTTTGAGCAATTGAAATTGGGTAGAAGGCTATATCCTATATGCTATATGCTTTATTCTTTAGCGAAACACACACACAACTAGAACAATGAACACAATGAACAAACTTCAATAAATTAACGTCGTAATTTAGGACACCACACATATGTTTAGCCAATATACTATACCATATCTATGTAGTACTTTAATATATAGTATATATATATATCTACTCAATGCATATTTTATCCAACAAAGTTATTTATCAAAGATACCAATATATATTATATAGCCATTAATCAGATCAATATAGATCCACACACACACACACCACACACATATACACATAACACATAAAGATACATAAGCTACATATGCACTGTAGATCGATTACTACTTCCTTTTTCCTTGGTAATTCTTCTTTTTTTTTGCAGTAGCTTCCAGTAGTCAAGACGCATTCGGATGTCAATTAGGTTTTCAAAATTAAAAGAATTCTATTCTCCCATTTTTTGGCATAGAGAACCTCTTACATATAACTAGAACTAATAATAATAATAATACTTGAAACATGATACATGATAAAGGGTAAATCTCACCATCAATGGATAGTTGGATGATGGCTAAAGGCACGAGCACGTTATAGTAGGGAAATATTTACACGAGACCTGACAAAATGCATCGCTGCTATCCAACCCCAACGAGTGCGGGTGCAACGAGAGCATTTTGCCCCATGGTTCCTTGTGTAACGAGTGTAGTTTGTAGAGTTTTGGATTTCACATATGTTTGTATAGTATGGTAGACACAGAGAAACACCCAATAGCAATACCATTACTAATACCAAACCAATACACATCTCATGCGGAACGCGGCCGACTGAGAAGCAGTGCGATTTGGGCTCCGGTTTCGCGGAGGTAACGCAGTCCATATGCCCAGTAAGTCGTCCACCCGAAACTTGAACCACAAACCGCCGCTGAGTCGGCCGGTGGATGGAAGGCATAGAGCGGAAGTAGACGGATTATATATTTAGAGTGTAATCTAGGAGCCACGCAAGACAAGTCAAAGTCAAGTAAGGAATATTTAGCAAATGACAATCTAGAGAATTAGCAAAAGGGTGGGAGCAGGGAAGGCAGGAAGGAATGGAGGCAGCAGGAAAGGATGGAAAGAGTGTAGAGACGTTTGCTAACCCATACAGTTTACTGGGGTTATAATTTTCCGTAAGGCATTCATCTGAATCAATTAAAGATGAAATTGTAGTTGGAGGAGGAGGAGTAGGAGTAGGACAAGGAGGATATAGTGTACAGGATATTGAAGAGGAGGCGGAGGAGGAGGAGGAGGAGGAGGGTGAGCGCTACCTAGACGTGTGCTAAATACTGAAACTCTCACGAACTGAAGGCAAATGCCATGCGAAAGGTCGATCGATCTCCGATCGGTACTTTCACAGCAGCGGTTCGAGGAGTAGAACTACTGGGTCCAAGCCAAAACTAAGAATATATTTTCGTGCATTTTGTAGAGTTGAATACGAAACAAAAACACACACAACACGAAAACAAGCCACGAAACAAC